GCCATCTTGGAGTCATCGTGAAGCCTCGGATGGCCATCGGAAGCGGAAAGGCGAAAAAGCCCAACACATGGATTTTCTTAAAGTTTTGGAAGGATTTTGGCCTCTTCGGTGCTTCCTGGGGGAGCTCTTTGGCCACGTGGAGCTGTCTTGAAGCGGTCTTGGGGCCTCTTGGAGCATCGTGGGAGCCATCTTGAGGCATCTTTGGATATCTTGAGACATCTTGGAGGTCATCTTGGGCTCTCCCAGGCGCCTTTGGAGTCATCTGAAGCAGTGCCCCGCCTAGGAGGCCCATATGTGGCCAAAAGCTTAGTAACATCAGTGATTTTGTCAGTCTCGCCGAGGCCTCTTGGAGCGTCTTGGGTGCCTCTGGGGGGCCTCTTGGGGCCTCTTGAGGGTCTCTTGGGGGCCTCTTGGGGGCATCCTGGGGGCCTCTTGGGGTTTCTTGGGGCCACATGCGGCCATCTTGGGGCCATCTCGGGGCCTCTTGGGGCCTCCTAGGAGCCTCTTGGGGCCATCTGGGGGAAGATCGATCACAGGAGGATCAGCCTCCCCCCCATCAGGAGGCCAAAATGGGGGCCCATCCCCAGTAAAACTAATGATTTTGGTTTCCTCGCCGAGGCCGTTTTGGACGCTCCAGCGCGTCGGGGAACCCCCCCGTCGAGGTCCAGGGTAGGGGGTAGGGGGAGGGGTAAACCCTTCCCCGAAGGGGAAGAAGGAGGGGTAAATAAGGAAACGCTCTAGACCACCTACGCCCAGGGCTGATGGGATTTAGCCAGGACCCCCGCTCCCGCCCGAGACTTCCTCGCATTTTATTCAGACATCGCGCTCTCGCTTGGGACTTCCTTACAATTTATTCAGGAATCGCTCTCTCGGCGCTCTGGAGTCGCGCTCTCGCTGGAGACTTTCTTGCAATTTACTCAAGAATAGCGCCCTTGCGTTGGAATGTCCTGCACTTTACTCAAGCACCGCGCTCCCGACATTCAGGCACCCAGGAGTGGCGCTCACGCTCAGGACTCCTTCACAGCTTATTTAGGAATTGGGATCTCGCTGCCCTTCGTGGCCCCGTTGCAGCCCTTCGTGGCCCCCTCGCTGCCCTTCGTGGCCCCGTTGCAGCCCTTCATGGCCCCCTCGCTGCCCTCCGTGGCCCCGTTGCAGCCCTTCGTGGCCCCCTCGCTGCCCTTGGTGGCCCCGTGGCCCCCTCGCTGTCCTTCGTGGCCCCGTTGCAGCCCTTCGTCGCCCCCTCGCTGCCCTTCGTGGCCCCGTTGCAGCCCTTCGGGGCCCCCTCGCTCCCTTTCGTGTGTATGGCCTTCGTGGCCACCGCTCGTTCGCGCTCGTCGTGGCCCCATCTGCATGCCCTTCGTGGCCCCGCTGTCGCTCTCGCTCGTTGTCGTCGTCGCCGCCGTCGTCGTCGTCGTCGTCGTCGTCGTCGACGTCGTCGTCGTCGACGTCGTCGTCGTCGTCGTCGTCGTCGTGGTCGGTCCCCTGTCCGTCCCTCTTGGGGTCGGGTTGCCGCCGATCGGTGCTGCCGCTGGCCAGGCCGACGGTCCGCGGCCGCCCCGCCGCTTGCCGGGGCCCGGCCTGCATGAAAGAAAGGGGTACCTTCCAAAAGGGGCACGATCGGAAACGAAGAGGGCTGGTATCGAGGGTTTGGGAAACACGCGTTAACGGACACTCGAGCAGATAAGAGCGAGCAGTCTGAAAATTATTGTTGCTGTTGTCGTTGTTTGTTGCTGCTTTTGTTGTTGTTGTTGTGGTTGTTGTTGTTGTTGTTGTTGTTGTTGTTGTTGTTGTTGTTGTTTTTTGTTGGTTGCTGCTGCTGCTGTTGTTGTTATTGTTGCTGATGTTGTTGTTGTTGTTGTTGTTGTTGTTGTTGTTGTTGTTGTTATTATTGTTGCGGCTGTTGTTGTTGTTGTTGTTGTTGTTGTTGTTGTTGTTGCTGCTGTTGTTGTTGTTGTTGTTGTTGTTGTTGTTGTTGTTGTTGTTGTTGTTGTTGTTATTGTTGTTGTTATTTTTGTTGCTGTTGTTGTTGTTGGTGCTATTGCTATTGTTGTTGTTGTTGTTGATGATGTTGTTGTTGTTGGAAAAGGCGCGCGTGGGAGCCCCGGCCCCCCCCCAGCAACCGAGCAACGGAGCAACCCTCTCTGAGGGTCTCCTGGGGGCGCCAAAGATTCCCTAATAGGATTTCCTAGGAATGCTATAGGCTTCCGTAGAAATTTTATAGACCTCCCTAGGAATTCTATAGGCCCCCATCGGAATTCTAGAGGCTTCCATAAGAATTCTACAGGCCCCCATGGGAATTCTATAGGCCTCCACAGGAATTCGATGGGCCTCCATAGGAATTCTATAGGCCTCCATAGGAATTCTATATGAGCCCCCCATAGGAATTTTATAGGCCTCCATAGGAATTCTATAGGCCTCCATAGGAATTCTATAGTCCTCCGTAGAGATTCTATAGCCCCCCATAGGAATTCTATAGGCCACCATAGGAATTCTATAGGTCTCCATAGGAATTCTATAGGCCTCGAGGAATTCCATAAGCCTCCATGGGTTTCGTCGCCCCGCCACCGCGCGCCACCTGGCGTGCCCGCCCGGTGGGAGGGGCAGGGAGATAGAGGGACACTGGCGGGGCGGAGGACGAGGCCGCCGACGACGACAATGACGATGATAATGATGGTGATGATGACGATGATGATGATGAGGATGCGGATGAGGATGCTGATGGTGACGATGATGAGGATGCTGATGAGGATGGTGATGATGAGGATGACGCGGATGAGGATGATGTTGACGATGGTGATGATGATGATGATGACGACGAAGACGACTACGATGATGATGGTGATGATGACGACGATGATGATGATGATGATGATGATGATGGGGATGGTGATGATGAGGACGACGTGGATGAGGATGACGATGATGATGACGATGACGATGATGATGAGTAAGACGAGGTGGACGACGATGCTGATGATGCTGAGTAGGAAAATGAGGATGACGATGAGGGTGAGGACGACGAGGATGACGAAGACGTCGATGCGGAGGACGAGGGTGAGGAGGACGAGGACAGGGTGGATGAGGAGAACGAGGACAGGGTGGATGAGGCTTGGGGCCAGGACGGTCGTCGTCGCCGTCGTCGTCGTCGCCGCCGCCGCCGTCGTCGTCGTCGTCGTCGCCGCTGCCGCCGCCGTCTGTATAGGATCCCATACAGTCTGTATCGGATCTGTATAGGATCCCATACAGTCTGTATCGGATCTCTATAGGATCCCATGCAGTCTGTATCGGATCTGTATCGGATCCCATACAGTCTGTATCGGATCTCCACAGGATCCCGTACAGTCTGTATCGGATCTCTACAGGATCCCATACAGTCTGTGTCGGATCTCTATAGGATTCCATACAGTCAGTATCGGATCTCTACAGGATCCCATACAGTCTGTATCGGATCTGTATAGGATCCCATACAGTTTGTATCGGATCTCTGTAGGATCCCATACAGTCTGTATCGGATCTCTATAGGATCCCATACAGTCTGTATCGGATCTGTGTAGGATCCCATACAGTCTGTATCGGATCTCTATAGGATCCTATACAGTCTGTGTCGGATCTGTATAGGATCCCAGACAGTCTGTATCGGATCTGTATAGGATCCTATACAGTCTGTTTCGGATCTCTACAGGATCCCATACAGTCTGTATCGGATTTGTACAGGATCCTCTACAGTCTGTATCGGATTTTTATAAGATCCCATGCAGTCAGTATCGGATCTCTACAGGATCCCATACAGTCTGTATCGGATCTGTGCAGGATCCTATACGGTCTGTATCGGATCTCTACAGGATCCCATACAGTCTGTATCGGATCTGTATTGAAGCGGCGGCACGCTGGCGCCCATACGTTTTTCACCCGTAGGGCCACGTTTAGGTCCGTAAGGGAGTCCAAGGGAGTTCCAGGATTTTTTTTCATGCTGTTGCTGGTTGCTGTTGCTGTTGCTGGGGGGGGGTCCGAATGCGTCCACGGGGCTCTGAGCGCAGCCTTCGCAATAAGGCGAGGGCGGGTCCGGACGGCTAGAACTCACGGGGCTCTCACGCGCGCCTTTTCCTTGTTGTTGTTGGTTGCTGCTGCTGCTGTTGTTGTTGTTGTTGTTGTGCCTTCGTGGTCCTCTCGCTGCCTTTCGTGGCCCCTTTGCTGCCCTCAGTGGCCCCGCTGTCGCCCTTTGTGGCCCCATATACGAATGCCTTTCGTGGCCCCCGCTCGTTCGCGCCCGTCGTGGCCCCATATGCATGCTCTTCGTGGCCCCGCTGTCGCCCTTCGTGGCCCCCTCTCTGCCCTTCGTGGCCCCGTTTCTGCCCTCAGCGGCCCCGTCGCTGGCCTCTGTGGCCTCGGATTTCATTGCCCTTCGTGGCCCCCGCTGGCTTTTCTCACGATTTACTTGGGAATCGCGCTATCGCTCTAGACTTCCTCGCGATTCCTGCAGACCCACGCTTCAGCAACCCGCCTGCTCGACCTCGTCGCTTGGGCCCGCCTTCCCGACCTTCTCCTTGCCCCCCTCCTGCTAATTTCTCTCGTGCTCCATTCTTCTCACTCCCCCTTCCACCCGTCCTCTCTTCCCTTGTTTAATGGGCTGTTCAAAATACACGTGGCAGTCAAGGAAGATCTGCCCCCAAGGGAGTACGATCGAAGACGACGAGGGCGGGTGCCGAGGGCTTGGGATACACGTATTGGTTGGCACGTGAGCAGATAGGTGCGAGCAGTCTTAAACTTATGGATGTTGCTGTTGATGTTGCTGCTGCTGCTGTTGTTGTGGTTGTTGTGGTTGTGGTTGTGGTTGTTGTTGTTGTTGTTGTTGTTGTTGTTGTTGTTGTTGTTGTTGTTGTTGTTTTGTTTCTGTCTTCTGTCATTTATGAGGGTGCGCTGGTGCATGGCACGAAGCAGCGAATCGTGTTCATGAGTGTGGTATGTGCTCGTGTATATGAACGTGTAAGCATTATGAACAGGTGCCGTGTGTTTGTTTATCATTGATGGCTTAGTTGTTCGCGTTCACATGACATTTCGAATCCATTGAGTGAGATACGTGACATGCCGTGGACGCGAGCGCTGCGTGGAACATGCATCGACACAGTCTAGTACCAGAAGTTCCGTTCTTCCATGTTGTGAGCAATTGTTTATATTACTGCATTGTTCATTATCTGGTGCGACCAAATAGCCGTTGTACTTCAAAACCTGCGCGGCCGTTGCACGTTGGTCTCTCGTGGAGGTCACGCCGACAGCCAGTTCAGGGTGCATCCCTGATGGCCTTGGTTCCAGAATGGACGTGGTGCAATATTTGAAGGGCTGGTCTTCCTCTGCCGCCAGTCCCTCCCAGACTGGGCCATCTCGGGGCTAGATTGGCACAGCCATGCTGCCATATTCGGGCTTCTTCGGGGTCTGACGGGGCCTTTCGGGCCACCTTTGGATGTATTTGGCAACATTGGGGCTACCTATGGGTTGTCTTGGGGCCTGTGAGGCCGCTCGTTTGGTGGGTTTTTTTGGAGGTATTTTGGGGCCTTGCGGGCGGTCTGGGCAACAGCGTGGGGTCTTTTGGGGGCGCTTTGGGGCAGTCTCGGCCGCTCTCTGGGACTTCGGGGGCCGTTTTGAAACGATCTTGGGGCATCCTAGAGAAACCTTGGAACAGGCCCTCGTCGCGTCCCCATGGGGGTCCTGGGGCAACCTGCAGCGGCCAGAAGGCTGACCCTCCCCCCTGGGTGTTTTTCCATGTGGGAGGGTCCCCCCGTAAACGGGAACATGGGGACATGTCTGCAGAGACAATCATCAACAACTCATGACAACACAGAAAAACAACACAGCGGTCCAGCATGATATTCACAATCTTGGGCTTTCGAAGGGACTGGCGGATTTTGCTTCTATCCTATTTCGTTGGCATGGCGATTCCAGTGTTCAAAGGTCAAGCAAAAGCCGAAGATGGGGCTGTGGTGTGGGGCAAGTTTGCACGCGACAAGTCTCATACATTTCCCGTGAGCGCTCGAATCGGATACCTCTGCAAATACGTACCAGCGTTCATGTTCATTGTTTTGCGTATAACAGTGTTTAACGTCGAGGCGGGAATTATGGAGTTCATGATGCTCACACAGCATGGGAAACGAATATGCGAGGTCTTGTTTGTTCACGACTTTGGAGGCAGTCCAATCGAGGATGGGACCAGCAGCATTTGTATCGGGATGTTCTACAGCTTTGTGGCTTGGGTGTATTGCCGAGGGGGCGCCAAGGCTGAGGGCCTTGCATTCTGCTTTGGCGTTTCTCTGTTCTGTGCTGGCATAGTGGGCAACCTGTACCATCACATCTTACTGGCGCGCCTGAGGGACCCGACTTTCAAAGGGCCCTCTGATGAATCCGGCAAGTACAAAATTCCGATCGGCGGTCTCTTCGAGCTCGTGACTTGTCCGCACTATTTTTTTGAATGCATGTATTATTGGGGAGCAGCCATCACAGCCTTCAACTTGATCCCTATGAGTGTGGCCGCCAACACCTCTATGATGTTAGCCGGGCATGCGACGTCGACAACTCGCTGGTATCAGTCCAAGTTCGGCAATCAGTGGCCAGAGGATCGGACACATATCGTTCCCTGTGTCTTCTGATTTGCAATCCTGCATGAGCAGGCGGTACAATTGACAGCCTGGTCTGCTTAGTACGTCGACTCTATAAGGTTCAAGAGTGTCTTTGTGTCCGTTTCATCGCGTCCTGTTTCATTGTTATGTTTGGAGAAGCCTAGAGGGTGTCGGGTGCCCTCTGCCATTCGTGCCGACTGTTGGTGTGCAGTCTTCGCCGTAGTTTCGGAGTGTCTGCTTTTTTTGTTTGTTTGTTTGTTTGTTTGTTGCTTTGTTTGTTTGTTTGTTTTCTTAGTTTTCGCGCGCTCTCTCCTTGCCACGAGGTTATCGTCTGGACAGAAGTCACGGAATTTTCGCGGATCTGGGGCAAGGGCTCTGGCCGCCGGCGTGCCGGATTTCTCTGGAGTTTTCTCGCGCCCGAGGGCTGTTTCTTTCGCCGCCAGCACTTCTCGTGCCTGTCCAGGAGGGCTGAAACGCATCACCCTACTCATAGCTTCAATTCTTGGCTCTTCCAGTGGCCTATCAGTTGTTCCCTCCCCTTTTTTGAAGGCCAAAACAGCAGGTTCCAATAACTTTGCTTGACATCTTCTGGCAACTTTGGTGTGTACGAAGGAGTCCCAGAGGAAACAGGCATGTTGTTTGTGACAGCGTCGGCCTGCCCCGTGTGGTTGGTTGTGGCAGGTCCTGAAGAGGATGGCCAACCACACGCCGAAACGCTGAGGGCGAACTGGAGCAGGGGTGCCCGAATAGTTGGGCATACTCAGTCCGAGACCAAATGAGGATCCCAAGACCAAGATAACGCCGATTATACTTCACTTGTGTTGACATGTAGTTGCTTTAAGAATCCTTCCATTCAGAGTTGACATGATGTTGCACTTGTTGTGATATGACAGGCAAATTACGGGTTATCAGCCGAAGCTCTCCAGGAACTCGTCTTCGGCGGCGCAGCCTTTTTCCCATCAGTCAGAGAGATTCCGGCATGCCTGCGCGTGTTGCAGAGAGATTCCAGCATGCCTGGTGTGAAGTCGGCTCCGCCGTCTTGTGGTCCAGTCAGTGCTCTGGTCACGGGGGCGGGGGGTCAGACATTCAAGGAAAAAGGGGGCACCTGCGGCCAGTCCGCCAAGTGCCGACGGTGTCACGAAAGAGGGGGCAGTTGTTCTCTCCCTTCTTTGAAGGCCAAAACAGCAGGTTCCAATAACTTTGCTTGACATCTTCTGGCAACTTTGGTGTGTGCGAAGAAGTCCCAGAGGAAACAGGGATGTCGTTCGTGACAGCGTCGGCCTGCCCCGTGTGGTTGGTTGTGGCAGGTCCTGAAGAGGATGGCCAACCACACGCCGAAACGCTGAGGGCGAACTGGACCAGGGGTGCCCGAATAGTTGGGCATACTCAGTCCGAGACCAAATGAGGATCCCAAGACCAAGATAACGCCGATTATACTTCACTTGTGTGGACATGTAGTTGCTTTAAAAATCCTTCCATTCAGAGTTGACATGATGTTGCACTTGTTGTGATATGACAGGCAAATTACGCTATCCCTTATACATGCCTGCCAGTCTAGAAGCGATTCCCAGGCGAGTCGTCGGGAGGAGGGTCGCGGAAGAGCGTTGGTGAAACCACGAGGGGGGGGCGCCTGTCGACCCCCCACGGCGGCCAGCTAGGGCCCTCGCAGGGCCTCGTCTTCAGCGCGCCTCTGCGGCCGCAGGCAACACCCGGCCACGGCGATTCCCCCATCTGGGTGCCCCCATGGCTATGACCCCGACGAGGCCCAGCCCCTCGCCAGCCTGCTGTACAGGGCTGCTACCATCTGGGGGACGGCACGGCAGGGCATGTGGAGGGAGTTTCTCGCTGGTGCCTTCCCTCCACGTGCCCTCGCCGCTCCTGCCGACCCCAGGCTGAGCCACCCCGAGCACCCCGCGGCTGCTGCAGTAGGGTGGGGCGCCGGGCAGCTCCGCGACTGGCGCCGTCGCGCCCTCGCTGCGTAGTTCGTCCGTCAGCAGCCCAAACCGCCGTCGCGGAAACTGACATGGGGTGCGCTGCCTCCGACGGCGGCCCCCGCCAGCCCGAAGCCTAGCCCCAATGCGGCCAGCCCGGGCCCCGCCGATGTCAAATTCGGCTCCCATGGGGTCTCTCCCGCGAATGGTAGCGTGGGAGGACCAGAAGACCAGAAGGTCGGATTCGTCCACCCTGAGGGCCCGCCCTAAGGCACAGCGGCACTCCACTGCACCAATCGGGGCCTCCGCCCACGGTGGTGCGGGTCTGCCTTCTCCCGCGCCTCAGGCCTCCACGGGCTCTTCCTCCGCGGAAGTCGTCCGCGCATCTGTTCGGCGCTGACGCCCCAGATCCTGGCCGTCCGCGCATTTGTTCGGCGCTGGCGCACCAGATCCTGGCAGTCGCTTGGACCATCGGCACCGCGCACGCGCGAGTGCCGCCCATCGAGGTCTCGTGGGCGCCACCGCCTGGGACCTGGGGACAGCAAAGACGAACCATTTGCACCTGGCCCGCCTGCCACTTGGCGGCGCCCTCGCGCGAGGCTGTCGCGGCGAGTTCCTACGCCCATCCTGGGCCCCGCCGCCCCCTACCTCGTAGCGGTGAGTGGCGCTCGACTTTGCCTGACTCGACCAACCAGGCGCTCTTCGCGCGGGCGAGTGGTCGCTCCCCAGACACCGTCTCTTCGCAACCTCGCCCATTTGCAGCAGCCCCCCCCCCCCGCGCGGCCGCCCGCTGCGCGCCCGCCCAGGGGGCGCATGCGTTGGGGCTCCAATCGGTGCCCCCGTCGGTGCGCGCGGAGCCTCCGCCGCGCTTGGCCTGTCGCCCGCGCGCCTGCGGTCCGCGCAGGTGTCCGCGTCTGCCGAAGGTGCCCCCCCCGCCACGCAACGTGTGCTCGCCGCGGGCCTGCGCTCCCCAGTGGCCAGCGCTCCCAGGGGCGAGGCAGCCCGTCAGGACCTCGTCCTACGCGTCAGCGCCATCGGGCAAATGGTGCCCCCAAGCCGCAGGGGGCAGCCGAGCTGTGGCGGGACTGGTTCCACCAGCGCGGGCCCGCCCTGTGGGGGGGCACACGCGGCGGCCCCAACCTCTACACCGCCGAGCAGCTCAACGCATTCGCGGACCTCGTCCACACGTCGTGGATACCAGGTGCTAGACGCGAATCAGAGGCGGAGGACCAGGGCCCTCAGACACGCGGCGCTTCTCGGGATCTCTCTCTGCCTTCCGCCCTCGCCCGCGCCCGTCCAAGAAGTGGCGCAGTGTTCAGTGCCGGATCCGCCAGTATGGCGATCCGCGCGGAAGTCCATCAGCGCCCAGACCGTCGGCGTGGCCCCTCGCCTTTGAGGCGTGGGTTATCCCTGTTCAATTTGGCAGGCGCCGCTGCCTCGATGCGCCCCCCTGTGGTTTCGTTGCAGGGCAGGCTTCGCCTCCTGCCGCCGCGCGCAGTACGTCGGCCGATACTTTCTCGGCTCTCCCGCCTCCGACCAGCGTGAGCCCGTGCTGCGCGGCAGCTCCTTCGCCAGGTGCGCAACCTTGCGCCCCTCGTGGCGGCCTACGTGCCCCGTCCGTCGTGCGGTTGACCCGGCCCGAGGAGGTTTCCAACCTTCCGTCGGGGCGTGGGCCCCCCCCTCTTTGGCTTATTTCCCGCTGTTGCTCCTCGTGCGGCCACGTCGCGCCCTTTCTCCCATGTTTGGGCTGGGGGTTGGTGCCGGGGCTGGGCGCCGGCTCGACGGCCACGGCGGCCCCGCGCTTTCCGCTTCCGCGTGTTCGCGCATGGGGCTCATGGTTGCGCTGCTGCTTGCCTCGTAGGTCTCTGACGCTACTCGTCCAGGCCACATGTCACCGCCATGCCCAGCGCGCCCGCTCGGGTTGAAGGGCCCCCTTCCGAGGGCTGTCACTGGAAGGCGGCCGCGCGACCGCGGCGGTCCGCGGCCCCCCGCCGCCGCGCTGCGCCTGCCCGATCTTCTCGCCGCCTTGTCCGCCGCAGCGGCTCCCTACTTTGTCGTAGGGCGCTCGACCCCGATTGGGTCTCGCCACGGGCTCGCGCGGCCCGTGGGCTGACCGGCGTCGCCGACTCTTTCGCAGTTTGGATGTAGGGGGCGGCTGCGTCCAGCTGCCCAGCTTCTTGAGGAAGGTGCCCCGTTGCTGCGCCTTCTCTGTGTCGATGCGCTGGGACATGACCTGCGTCGGTGCCTTGCTGCTGCTCTGCGCCCTCTGCCGCGTGCTCACCGTCGGTCGGCCTTCATTTCCTTGGCACCTGCTTCCCCAGTGTGCGCTTGTCTCGCTGTCTGCTGTTTCGCTGGGCGCTTGGCGCCTTGTCCACGTCTGCCTGTTTCCTCGCCTCTGCTGGTCCAGCTGTGCTGCGCCCCCGCTTGCTTCCTTCCGCTGCGCGTATTGCCCGCCTTCTCTTCTCCCTGCGGTCTACCCGAGCCCAGGATTGCGGATGGCGCGGGCGATCCGCCTGGCGATTCCGGGCCCAGTTTCTGGGGGGTTGGCCGCGCGCGCTCTTGCTCTACTTTCCGGATCGACTGTCTCCGTCTCGTCGGTGCGTGCGAGGCCGCGCCGCCAAAATGTGTCTGTGTTTGTGCCTGTGTGTTCCGTGCCAGCGCCCCCTACCAATCGTTTCGCCGGCGGCAACTCGCGGCAACGAGCATCATCATTGCCGCGCTGGAAGTAGCCCGCCAATAAACAGAGTCACAGGATGGGGAGACGTCTAACCTCTTGATGCAGGACGAGGCGCCACAAGCCACTGAGCCTGCCACACATGCGGCGCTACAGGCAGAGCCGTCGCTGTCGGCGACCGCGTGCACCTTGGGCCAGGGGGCAAAGATGACATGGCAGCAGCCGGCGGCATCACCTCCACGCGCGACCGTTTGGTCCACCAGATTGGGGACGTCCGCGCATGCCCTGGCCTTGTTATCGGCTGCCGATCACATCCCAGCCTATTGTGGAACTGGAGCCAGGTCTATTACGGAGGGCAGCTGCGGGGCGGCGCGGTTCCGGGGTCGCGACCAGCCGTCGGCGCCGCCTCATGGCGGGAGATGCGG